GAGCGGATCCGCAAGGGGCTGCAGCTCTACTCCTCAGAGCCCACGGAGCCGTACCTTTCCTCCCAGAACTACGGAGAGCTCTTCTCCAACCAGATCATCTGGTTTGTGGATGACACCAATGTGTACAGAGTCACCATTCACAAGGTGAGGCCAGAAGTGTGTCTCAGGGAAAGGACAGGGACTGTGATGTTTTTGGGGGGAGGGGGCGGGCGGAGGTTTCCATGCATGATGGAAAACTGGGAGTCAACACATGTTCCCAGATTTTTGCAGTGTGCACAGAGCAGCTCTTAAAAGTCCTGTACAGTTCCTGCTCAAAGCACACAGCGAGTCAGCTGTTATGTAAAGGTGTGGGCTACATTTATCTCCCTGTATTTCTCACTTCTGCTTATTTTCTCAGACTTTTGAAGGGAATCTGACCACAAAACCCATCAATGGAGCCATTTTCATCTTCAATCCCAGAACTGGACAGCTCTTCCTGAAGATCATTCACACATCTGTGTGGGCAGGACAGAAGCGTCTGGGACAGGTAGGGCCTGGCTGTGCTTTGGTGTGAGCTGGGGATGGGCTCTGACTGCCTGGGACTAACTCAAGCAGAAAACACCATGAAGATCTTCATCTTCCTGCCTCTTAATGAGTTTGGATCTCAAATGTCCAGTGTGTGACAAGTGCTCAGGCAGGCATGAGCATGGGATATAAAAGTGAAAGAACAAAGTCATTGCAAGGATTTGCAGGCTCTGAGGTGTAGAGACCCCACATCATCAAACAGGGCTTGAGGAACAGTGCAGTGCTCCTCGTTACACAAATCATGTTGCACTTGGCCGTACATCCAGTGCAGTGAGGAGACTCAGGTGGCAAATCCAGGGAGGTGGAGTAACCAGCTGTTTTTTCTGATCCAGTCAGGAGTAACTGAGCTCCAGGAATGGAAACTGCCCTCTGTGATCAGTAAGGAGGAAATGCTGGGCCTTGTCACTGGTCTGGAACAAGCCATAAATTCCAGTTGTATTTTTAGAATTTGGTTTGCATCTCTCTGATTCCCAGAGACATGGAGACTGTGCTGTTAGCAGGGAGATATTTCTCTAACCCTGCTGTCTTTCTGTAGTTGGCCAAGTGGAAGACTGCTGAAGAAGTGGCTGCCTTGATCCGATCCCTTCCTGTGGAGGAGCAGCCGAAGCAGATCATAGTGACTCGGAAGGGCATGTTGGACCCACTCGAGGTAACAATACAGATCCTGCTCTGTGAGGATGTATAAAACCTTTGGGAGGTGACAGGACACTTTTGCGTTCCTGTGATGTTCTGCAGTAGTTGTGAGCTAATTCCTCTTGATAAACTCCAGGTGCACTTGCTGGATTTCCCCAATATTGTGATCAAAGGCTCGGAGCTGCAGCTGCCCTTCCAGGCCTGTCTGAAAGTGGAAAAGTTTGGTGATCTCATCCTGAAGGCTACTGAACCCCAGATGGTTCTCTTCAATCTCTACGATGACTGGCTGAAAACCATCTCTTCCTACACGGTGAGCACAGATGTCTCTTCTGTAATTTTGCTTTGCTGCTGGTAAATGAGGCAGGAACCAAGACTTCAATTATCCCTCATGATTTGTTGTTTGGGAGCACTTAGCTCTGAATCTGCCTGGATTTTCCTTCAGATCAATTTCGCTGGCACTTATGCAATGTCTGCATGTCCAGACAGAGGAGAGCTGTACTAGGGCCTTGTATATTTGGTTTCCTTCTGTTTAAGTGCATCTTTTTTTCATCTCCAAGGCATTCTCCCGTCTGATCCTGATTCTCCGGGCACTACACGTGAATAATGATCGAGCCAAAGTTATTCTGAAACCAGATAAGACGACCATCACTGAGCCTCACCACATCTGGCCAACCCTGACAGATGAGGAGTGGATCAAGGTGGAGGTGCAGCTGAAGGATCTCATCCTTGCTGACTATGGCAAGAAGAACAAGTAAGCCACTGTACAGCTGCAATAATCCTATCAGCCTTTCCTTCCTGCTCTTAAAACTGGGGCACCAGTGCTCCTTGTGAGAAGGACCTGTGGTAATGAATCATCAGCTTTGTAGGGAAATTGGTTTTTATTAATTGCTTTCTAGTAAGGTATGCAAAAATATTTGCACCAGATGTTTTCTGATCGAAGCATCATGTGTTTTGGCCCCTTCTCTTGTTTAGAAAGTTGTGGTTTCATTTTTCAAAGCACCCCAAGTGCATGTTCTGAGCTTGTGCCTTGATGGGAAGGGTCCAGAATGTATTTTCAAGTGCCTGACTTGAGTGGATTTTCTCTTCCAGTGTGAACGTCGCATCCCTGACACAGTCAGAGATCCGAGACATTATCCTGGGCATGGAGATCTCAGCCCCATCTCAGCAGAGACAGCAGATTGCAGAAATTGAGAAGCAAACCAAGGAGCAGTCACAGCTGACAGCCACACAGACACGCACCGTGAACAAACACGGGGATGAAATCATCACCTCCACCACCAGCAACTACGAAACACAGACCTTCTCCTCCAAGACTGAGTGGCGGGTCAGGTAGGAAGGCAGGCAGGGCTTGGGGTGGTGGGAAGGGTCAGAGTGCTCAGGAAGGATCTGCACCCTCTGATCATCACCTCCTCTTTGCAGAGCCATTTCTGCTGCCAACCTCCACCTGCGGACAAACCACATCTATGTCTCGTCAGACGACATAAAGGAGACGGGTTATACCTACATCCTTCCCAAGAACGTGTTGAAGAAGTTCATCTGCATCTCAGACCTGCGGGCCCAGGTGAGCGCTCAGCGAATCTCTTACAGTTGTGCTTCACACTGCTGGGCACACACCGGTCCTGGGCAGTCAGGAACTGGTGGTGAAGGGCTGGGAACCTGCTGCTGTCCATGTGAAGCCTTCTGTGCTGGAGACAGGCACTGGCAGTACATCTGAGCAGCCAAGTTCTAGCCAGGTCCTGATGGCTCCTTGTGGCCCAAGACTGTGATGTTCTCTAGTGAGAACCTGCCAGCCAGGAGATGTTCTCCTAGAGAAATAAGGAGTTCCCACTCTCACGTGATTACATGGAGATCTTTACTGGGCCTCTAAGGCATGTGTCTGTGTTCCTAGATTGCAGGTTACCTGTATGGAGTGAGCCCTCCAGATAACCCCCAGGTGAAGGAGATCCGGTGCATTGTGATGGTGCCCCAGTGGGGAACACACCAGACTGTGCATCTCCCAGGGCAGCTGCCACAGCACGAGTATCTGAAGGTGAGTTGAGCTCCCAGGGTGGGTGGAAGGTCAATAACAGGGACCTGACGTGGTGGGGCAGCTTCCCTTGGTCCCTTGCAGATGTGGGACTGAAAGGGCTTGGCCTGAAGCCAGCCTGAGTGGGGTCAGGTGAGGGGAAGCCTGCAGTCTCTCGGTGCTTTTTGCCAGGCTTGAAGTGGTCCTGTTTTGGACATCTTTGATTTCTCTCTAAACCGCTGCCTTTTTGTCAGGAAATGGAACCTCTGGGGTGGATTCACACCCAACCAAACGAGTCCCCTCAGCTCTCACCGCAGGATGTCACCACCCACGCCAAGGTCATGGCTGACAACCCCTCCTGGGATGGGGAGAAGACCATCATCATCACCTGCAGGTGAGGGACAGGGAGCTTTTCTGGTGCCCCTCTGAGGGGGGCTGTGGGTGCAGTGCTTGGGAACACGCTGAGGTCTCAAAATAAAATTTGGCAGAAAGGGAGTGTTGGCTCATCCCTGGTTTCCCTCCTCTGCCCCCAGATGAGTCTGACTTGCCCCATCCCTCCTCCCTTTCAGTTTCACACCCGGCTCCTGCACACTGACAGCCTACAAACTGACCCCGAGTGGGTACGAGTGGGGTCGCCAGAACACGGACAAAGGGAACAACCCCAAGGGGTACCTGCCCTCCCACTACGAGAGGGTGCAGATGCTGCTGTCCGACCGCTTCCTCGGCTTCTTCATGGTCCCAGCACAGGGCTCCTGGAACTACAACTTCATGGGTGAGCTGCCCCGGGAAGGGGATGGGAAAAGAGGCAGCGTGAGTAGCCTGTGGAGGAGGAAATAGCTGCTCCTCAGGGAAACATTCCTTACCCACTCCAAAGCTTGACCTTCCTTGCAGCAGCTGGCAGGGATACCAGCACTGTGGTCTGACTTTTCCTTGGTACCAGCACTGGGATGTCAGTTCTCAATGATTTTTTTGGTGGCAAGAGAACAAACTGATAGAGAGGAGAAACAGATACTGTGTCTGTCTGGACTGTAGTGTCTGGTTTGTCACCAATGAATAATTAATCCCTGTCAGGCAGCAGAGATAATGGAAAATGCAAGAGAGAAGCAGTTCCAAGTAGGGAAGTGAGGGGAGGTCCTGGCATGATGAACACCACAGCCAGCTGGAGAAGGGGTCAGGAAATGAAAGTGACAAGACAGAACATTCAAGCAGAGAAATGGACTGTAGATCTCTTGGGGGGGTGTCCAAGAGGTGATACTTTTGTGGATTTAGAACTCTCCCTTCTAGCATGGCCGTGCTTAAAAACAGATCCTGTGAGGGTAGGGAGCTTCAGGAGGATGGTGGAGGCAGGAGGGGCTCGCAGGTGGGTGACAGTCTCTCTCTTCCAGGTGTTCGCCACGACCCCAACATGAAGTACGAGCTGCAGCTCGCCAACCCCAAGGAGTTTTACCACGAGGTCCATCGCCCCTCTCACTTCCTCAACTTTGCCCTGCTGCAGGAGGGGGAAGTTTACTCGGCCGACCGAGAGGATCTCTACGCCTAATCCTGCCCGTGCCCCCACTCTTAGTACTGTTGATATTCAACAGCGTGTTTGTGTGTCCCCCGCGCACCCCACTCGCCCCCCGTAGCCCCCCCCCCTCTCCCCGCACCGTCCCGCGTTGTTGTACCCCACCTACCCCGTGGCTCAATAAATTTTGTACGATCGGGAGGCGCTGCCGGTGAGATCCCGCCCCGGGGGCGGCCCCGGACGGGGCGGGCCAGGCCGGGCCGGGGCGGGCGGAGCGTGCGCGGGGCCCGGGCCATGGCGGAGCCGCTGTGGCGGACCCCGCCGGGCCGCCTGGCCCCGCCGCACGTCTATCGCATGGCGGGGGCTCTGGGCGCCGAGCTGCGCCGCCTCTCCGGCCGCTTCGGGCCCGAGGCCGTGGCCGGGCTGGTGCCGCCCGTGGTGCGGCTGCTGGAGCTGCTGGAGGCGCTGGTGGCCCCGGCGGGCGCCGAGGCCGGGCCGCAGGAGGCGGAGGTGAGCGGGGCGCAGGGACCTTCCCCGGTGCCGCCGACCCGCGCGTGTCCCCGCTGGAGCGTCCGTGGGGACGGCTCCGACCCGGCTGTTCCCGGGGGATGGCTCTGAGCCGGCTGTTCCACATCCCGTGGGACGGCTCCGACCCGGTTGACCCCATTCCCCGTAGGGACGGCCCTGTCCCGGCTGTCCCCTTTGCCCAGCGGTTGGCTCTGACTCGGCCGTCCCGCATCCCCTGGGACGGCTCTGACCTGGCTGTCTCTGTCCCGTGGGATGGCTCTGGCCCGGCTCTCCCACATCCCCTGGGATGGCTCCAACCTGTCTGACCCAATTGACCCCCCTGGGATGGCTCTGACCCGCTGTCCTGCTTTCTCGGAGTGGTGGCTCTGACCTGGCTGTCCCCCATCCCCTGGGACGGCTCTGACCCGGCTATGCTCCCCCCCGCCCCGTCCCCCAGGACCCGGAACAGAGGCTGTGGGAGGCCGAGCGCCAGGAGCGAACCCTGCACGGCCGCCTGGCCTGCCTGGAGGAGCAGAACCGGCAGCTCCTGGGGCAGCTTGCGGAGAGCCAATCCCAGGAAGGTGGGTGTCTCAGCGGGTTTGGGGTCCCCTGATGCCACAGGGTGTCCCTGCGGGGGATGGCAGGCTGGGTGCAGGGCTGAAGCTGCTCTCTGGAGCCTGGAGACCTGATCTTCAGCCCTGCAGACCTGTCCTACCAGGGAGCATGAGTGTTACCTTGTTCTGCAAGCCACAGGGACCCCAAACCCCCAGAGCAGCCCCAAGCCCCCAGGACCAAGCTGGGACCACCCCCAGGAGGGTGGTGGAGGCAGGCATGGGGTATGGACTGCTTTGCCAGCACAGGGATGTGTTTGGAGTGGCCTACAGCTCTCAGCTTCCCTCTTTCCACTGTTCCCACTCCGAGATCTACCAGGAATGTTAGAGTCTGGCAGAAACACTGAGGAACCTCGCAGTGTCAAGGGACTGGGGGAATCCGTGGATCCTGGAGGCAACTCATGCCTGTGTGCCTGTGTCTGGTCTCAGATAGCACAGCACGGAAGGAGCGGGAGGTGATGCTGCGGCTGAAGGAGGTGGTGGACAAGCAGAGGGATGAACTTCGTGCCCAGGCCCACGAGATTGTTTGCAAGAGCCGAGACACGGAGGCGGTGAGGGGTGTGGGAGCTCACGGGTGTGGTGTTAAGGGCCTGGGCACCTGCTTTCATGTCACATCCCCTCAGGGCTGTCACGGCTGCTGAGCCTGCTGGGGTAGCGCCTTGCCCGGTGGCTCTGATGTCCCTGGGTGGGGACACTGCCTCACTTTTGGCTGCCCTGGGCCCTCCAGCTGCAGGAACAGCTGCATCGCTTCATGTCCATGAACGAGGACCTGCGGCACAAGGTGGCCGTGGTGCAGGCTCAGCTCAAGAGTGCTCTGGAGCAGAAGTCGGACCTGGAGGCTGCGATGCTGCAAATCCAGAAGGAAATGAGCAGGAGGAGCAGGACAGCCCAGGAGACCCAGCAGCCAGAGCCTGGCCTGGTGAGTCTGAGCCTGTGGCCTTGCTGCTGCCGCCAGGCATCACTGACACTGACCTGACATTCCCAGCCCTGTGTGGAGCTTCTGGCACACCCAGAGCACCCAAATGCCAGCAGGACGTGGTTTTTCAAGTAACCCCACAGCTGAAAATTTAGCAGTGATGCCAGTAACATCTTTTTCTGTAAAAATTGATAGAGGTGGAGCAAAGCGAGATGACAGGAGGAAAAACCAGGTGGGACTTGAAGGATGAGGAGGGTTTGCCACATGTGGTGATGGGCAGTAGGTGCTGGCCCATGGAGGGCTGCAGCAGCAAACTCATTCCTGAGACTTCCATCTCTGCCTGCACGTGGCACCCAGCCTTTGGGTGGGGGTTTCAGGGTCTCTCTTGCCTGCTGACTCTCTTTCCATCCTCCCAGGAAGGAGCCCCATCGCCCACGGAGGAGCCACAGCACCAGGAAGGGGACAGGAGCCCCGCTCAGTGCTGCTTCTCTAAGGAAGAGCTGCAGCAGATCCTGCAAGAGCGGAATGAGCTCAAGACCAACCTGTTCCTGGTGCAGGAGGAACTGGCCTATTACCAGCGGTGAGTCCTGCTGTGGTGGTGGGGGCAGTGAGCCGGGTCCCTCCCGTCCCTGCAGCCACCCATGGCCACGAGGCTGCTCGTGACTCAGCTGGGGTGGAATCTTTCCCAGGCTGTTGGTTAACCAATTGGCTGCTTTTTGCCAGGGAGCTGCTGAACGAGGAGAGAATTCCCGGCTTCTTCTTGAACGCGATGAAGTCAAATATCAAAAAACAGAGAAAAAAAATCAGAGCCAAAATGTTGGGAACGACGGAGGAGTCGGCGAGCAGGTGAGTCCAGCTGGCCATGGCTGACAGGAGCCTCCCGTGCAGGGTTGGTGCTGGCTGGCAGGCTCTGGTGTTTCCATGTGGTATGACACCCTGGAAGGGAACTCCCCCAGGCCCAGAGCTGCCTCCTCCCTCCAGAGATCAAAGGTTTAATGTCTTAGGTTGGTGTCTTGCTCAGGTGTAGCCCTGGGAGCACCTCAGGGCCTGAGCTCTTTGCTGCAACTCATGTGTCCCTGTCACCAATTGCACATGGCCTGGCCAAATGCCACTGTCCCTGTGTGTGTGACAAAAGGGAGGCGAGGTGGTGGCACTGGGAGCACTGGACAAGGCAGACTGGCCCCTGCACTGTATGGGTGCAGATTTGTCCAGCTCCAGAGGGAGCCCTGGGGTGGCTCCAGCACTCACTGCTGTGGTGTGTCTGTGGCTCAGTGCAGGTTTTTTCCCCCTATTTCTTTGTCCTGCAGTGATGAAGATGAGGGCTCCTGGCTCCCAGCTCATGGCACAGACTGTGTGGATGCTCAGCCTCCTGAATCCAAAATTAGGAGCTTGTAAGTTTGCTCTTGTGCTGGGGTGCTGGTGGGGACAGACAGCTCTGCAAGTGAGGGCATTGGGGCTTAGCTGGGCCCTGGCACTTGCTGAGCTTGGGTATGACGGGAAAGGAGTTGGACTGCCCCATGCAGGGCTGGCAGGGATGCTGCCAAAATGGGGGTCATTGGTTTGAGGAGGATCTGCCTTGTCCTGGGCAGGGACAGGGCAAGCCTTGCTGCTGCCCCTGCGGTGCCACACACTCCCAGGGCCTGCAGCCAGGCTGTGTCCTCCTGCTGCCACCAAAGCAGAGAGAGGTTGGGATCCAGCAGCTTCCCTGGGAAGGTTCTTCTCCCCCATGGCCATTATCTGCTCTCTCTGCAGTTTTGGGCTGTGGTATCAGGGCAGCAACAAAGAGCCCCCCACATCCAGCTGCTCCGGCACCTGGGAAATCATCGACTCGCTGGACACGGAGGTGGAGCCAAAGGGAGAGAAGGAGCCGGCAGCCAGTTCCCCCAACAGAGCCACGGCACCCCTCTGACCCCACCTGAACAGGAGCTGATCTGACCTCACAGCAGCACTTCCCAGCTCCTCTTCTTCTGGTGTCTTCGAGAGCAGCACAGCAGCCCTGGCCCCTTCCCTGTGCCGTGGTGACGGCGAAGCCAGAGCGTGGGCAGATTGCTGCAAACCCCTTGGGGCACTTGGATGTGGGGTGCCAGCCTGGCATGGGACACCTCAGCACCTCTGGGCATCTCTGCCCATCAACCACCCTTTCACTGTGCCCATGACTTAACTATGGGGGGTCCTGCACAGCTGTGCCCCCCACACACACTTCTCCCTGCTTGTAGCTCAGCGTGGTGAGGGTCTCCACCACTATGGGGGGTCCTGCACAGCTGTGCCCCCCACACACACTTCTCCCTGCTTGTAGCTCAGCGTGGTGAGGGTCTCCACCACAAAAGGGCTCTTCCCCTCCACTGGTGGCTTTTTCTGCCAAACCCCCCTGCTCAGAGCCCAGGGTCCCATCGCCCAATCCTGCTCTGGGGGGGTGTTTCACTTCATCCCTTTCCATTCATACCTCCCCCATCCCTGCAATGTGAAGGTTGAGGTGGAGTGTCCTGGGGTCACCACACGGCTGAAAGGGGCTGAGCACACTGCACCAGGTGTCCAGGTGCTCCTGTAGCTGGGACAGCCAGGATCAGCACTGCCAGTGCCACTCCTGCACTTTTTAGGTATGGGGTGAAACAGTTTTGTACTGGGACTTCTTCCTGCTACTGCTGGGACAATCCTTGTGTTTGTGGGGGCCAATTGGTCCCCTCAGGTCAGGTACTTTATAGCTTTAAAACTGGAGTTGGAAATAAATCAATCACTTGTTTCTTCTCTGAGGTGCCCCCTGCAGCCTCTGCTCTCTCCTGGCTTGGGAAGGGGCTGGGAGGTGCTCCTGGGGTTCACTCACCATTCTCCAGTGTAGCCACCAATGGCTGTGCTCTGCCAGCCCCCCGAGCCCCCTTTGGTGGGTCAGCAGCGATGGGGAGGGGGCTCCAGGGGTGTGATGGTGCAGCTCTGGGCGTGGAGGAGTTAAATCCTGCATGGCCAGGGGAGCAGTTGTGCTTCCAGCCAGGAGTCCCCCCAGGCTGAGCCGGCCTTGAGTAGGAAAAAGGTGTTTCCTGTGCATCTGCTGACACAGAGCTCCTGGGGACATGGCGAGGTGGGACAGTGGCCAGCAGCCCTTTGAAGGCCAGCACAGGTCAGGCTGTGTTGCAGTGGGGGACATGGGGACCCCACCTTTGAGGCCCTGCCAGGGGTTGGCAGTGCCATGGGGTGGCTCATGGGGGTCGGGGCAGGGGGAGGCAGCGGATGCCCTGCGTGGGTTGGGGGGGCATTGGCTAAAACAGCTTTGGGGGTGACAGAAGGAGGCACAGGGGGAGCCAGGTGAGATGCTCAGGCAGGTACCAATGATTCAAAGAAACCTCTGAACAATCTGAAAAGCACTTTTATTACGACCAGAGAATGCAAAGGGGCAGGTGTTTTTCCCCAGTGCACTCCGCTGAGCAAAGAAATACCATAGCTTTTTATACAGTTTGAAAGTAGCAAGTTTAAAATTACCTATGCACACACTCTTTTTGCAGTCTGCCTTATCTAAATAGACACTTAGTTTTACCTCTTATTCTTACCATTATAGAGTAGTTACATAAAGTTTTATAATTTCAAACAGTTTCAGGTTCCCCACCCCTCTCTACGTGCTAAAAAGCCTTCCCTATTCTCTAAGCTATTTTATCTTAATTGCCCACAGTTTGGACAGAAACTTTTAAGCAGTTTTACATTTTGCAAAATCACACTTACGTAGCTAAATAGCTAAATTTTATTTCATTTTCTATTTCACCAACCCCCATGTGGTTGTGCCAAGCCCTTGGATGCCCATTTCTGCTGGCAGGGTGGCAGCAAGGGCCGAAAACAGCCCTTTAGTGGCATTCCCTGCTCCCCTCCCTGCCGTACTCCTGACGTCTGGATTGGGGTGACTCCTCCCGCGTTTCCTCAGGAAGAAACCCAAGGCTGGAGGGAGGAAGAGGCCGCACCACGGGAGGGACGGGACAGACGGACGCCGGCGTGGGGCTGGGGAGCCACCAGGACTTGGGCCCTGGTGGTGATGGGGAGCGTCCAGCCCATCCTCTGCCTCCAGCTGTGGCTGTGGGTGCACAGCTCTGCCCAGGAGCTCGACCCCGATGGCAGGAACGTCTGCAGGTAGGTGCCATGGGGGTCCCCACTTGTGCCCCTCCATCTCCTGGGCTTCTCAGCAGCCCCAGAGGTGTGTTGTCCATCCGTCCTTCCACAGACGGAGATCTGCAGGCCGGCATCATGTGGGTGCAGAGACTGGAGTGATGCTGGGGACCATGGTTGGGGCACTCGGGGGTACTTGGGGCACCCAGACCCCTTCTCCAGGGGTTATTTCTCATTCACCCCCAGTGCACAGGGCAATGGGGTGATACAGGACCCTTGGCAAAACTCATCGTGGGGAAACATCGGCGTAGCAGACCCCAAAGGGCTTTGGGAGCTGATGTCCCCTAATTTGCTGCCGTGTTGCCTCTCCCATTGGTCTCCCATCAGCAGCGGCGCCTTTTGCTTCCTTTTTTTCAGTGCCTTATTTCTGCGTTGCTGGTGAAGCTTTGAGTCGTTCCCAGGGCACTGGGGACCCGTCACGGGCTCCATAGCGGCATTCCCAGCAGTTTGGGCAGGCCAGCCCCACCACCCCCTCAGGCTGCAGGCTCCTAAATTTCCTTCTATTTTGCTGGTTTCCTTCCGGAGCGTTGTCCTTGTGGCCGCACTGCCATCCCACCGCTGGGGCGAGGGATCGCTTCGCCTTGGCTGAAGCCACAAGCAAAGCTGTCCTGGCCCAAACACCCCCTGCCCTGGCTGACAGACCCTCCGGGTCTCCCCCACAGGTTCCCCACCGGCCTGGAGTGCTGCCCTGGCTGGAAGCAGGACGGGCGGGAGTGCACAGTTGGTGAGTGTTGGATGATGACGAAGCCGGACGCTCAGTCCCTGTTCTTTTCCAGGCGGCTCCTCCACAGTGCTGGGTGTTGGGGGGAAGCCCTGCAGCTCTGCTCAAGGGACAGTGGTGTGGTGCTGTGCCATGGGGACCCCCAAATGCCCACTGAGCAAGCTGCTGGTGGTACTGTGGCTCAGGTGGAGGGATGGAGCGGGAAGCGGGATGGCAGATTCCCCAGGAAGTCTGTCTCTGCAGGACTGGGTGGCAGGTGGTCTGGCAGAGGGGTGTGAGCCTGGGGGGCCATTGTGTGCTGATGTTTCTGCCCTGCCATGACAGCACTGTGTGAGGGGAAGGATGCCTGTGGGGAGGACGAGGTGTGTGTGAAACCCGGGGTCTGCCGCTGCAAACCCGGCTTCTTCGGAGCAGACTGCAGTTCCCGTGAGTGTTCCCACAGGGCTCAGCCAATCCCACCATCACCTTTGCCAGCCTGGATGCTCCCGGGAGCTGCAGGACTTCCCCCCATTCCTCACAGTCTCCTTCCCCCCGCAGGCTGCCCCGAGCAGTACTGGGGCCCCGACTGCAAACAGAGCTGCCCGTGCCACCCCAACGGGCGCTGCGACCCGGTGAGCGGGCACTGCACCTGCGACCCCAACCACTGGGGACAGGTCTGCCAGTTCCCCTGCCAGTGTGGCCCCCACGGCCGCTGTGACCCCCTGACGGGCGCCTGCCACTGTGAACCGGGCTGGTGGGCACCCAATTGCAAGAAGCAATGTCAGTGCAACCTCGCCAGCTCCCACTGCGACCCTCTGACCGGCCTCTGCCGCTGCCTGCCGGGCTGGTGGGGCAGGAGGTGCAGCTTCAAGTGCTCCTGCTACCACTCTCCCTGCACCCAGGAGACGGGCAAGTGCGAGTGCAAGGCCGGGTTTTGGGGGCCGGCGTGCCAGCGGCGCTGTGACTGCGTGCACGGCTCCTGCAGCCCCGTCACCGGCCACTGCACCTGCGACCCCGGCTACCAGGGCAGGAGCTGCCGGGAGCCCTGTCCGGCGGGGAAATACGGGTCTCAGTGCGTGCACAGGTGAGCTGGGGGCAGCAGGGGGATCCAGTGAGTACCCCCGGGTGGCAGTCACACCTTGGGGGAAGTCATCGCGGTAGTGTCTGTCTGGTCAGGGAGACCCATCCTGCGGGATTTAAGCATCCCTGGTTGGATGCAGCATCAGCATTGTCCCAAAAGAAACATCTCACTAATGCCAGCAGAAAGCGCTGATGTCACCCTAAAATTGCATTATCCTTAGTCCTGCTCCCTAGGGTGATAAAACAGCATCTCCCTTGTCTCTTCCAACCAGAATATTCTGTGATTTTGCTCTCCTCCTATCCTCTTACTACTACAGAGTGCTTGGCACTACACAGTATTTCCCTGTGGCCCAAACTGATGCTCAGTGCTGGTGTGGGGTGAAACCTGCTTTTTGAGGGGCCAGGGGTGGGTGTTGTGACTTCACTGCCCCTCTGCCCACACAGCTGTGGGAGCTGCAAGCGAAGCCAGCCCTGCTCACCCGTGGATGGCTTCTGCCTGGCCTGCCAGCCTGGTTGGAACGGGACTCTCTGCAAGGATCCCTGCGCTCCCGGCTTCCATGGCGAGAGCTGCCTCCAGCCGTGTCCCCGCTGCCAGCGCGGGGAGCCCTGTGACCCTGAGACTGGGTCCTGCCTGCACTGTGATCCTGGCTGGACAGGACCCAGGTATGCCCAGGATGGAATTGCTGGTCCTCAGGGGGCTCTCTGCTCCGAGGTGCAGCCGGCTGATGCTTCGCTCTCTGTCTTGGCAGCTGCAACAACTCCTGCCCCACAGGCACCTTTGGCGATGGGTGCCAGCTCCTCTGCCCCGAGTGTGTTGCAGGGAGCTGTGATCCCATGACAGGAGTTTGCATCTGCCAGGCAGGCTACTGGGGAGACAGGTAACGCCAGGATAATTCTGGGAGCAGGGCAGGGCTGGGGCCTCGCTCTCTCCAGGGGCATTTCCCTCCTTTCCTCTCTCTTCCAGCTGCAATGACACCTGTCCAGAGGGATATTTTGGAGTGAATTGTTCCGAGCCCTGCCAGTGCTCCCGGGGGACCTGTGACCCTGTGCAGGGTGACTGTGTACTGAGTAAGAGCAACCTCAAATTTACTACTCGGCACTGGGCAAGGGAGGGTCACATCCTCACTGGAGAAGGTGCCAGGAGGCTGGGATGCAGCTTGGTCCTACCTGGTGCTTCCTGGCCCAACCATGAGTTGCCAGCTCCTGCATTCTCCATGCAGGGCAGTTCTCTGGGCTTCACAGCCATAGGGCATTCCGCACTCAACCCATGTTCTCCACGCAGGTTTGAAGGACCACGGAGCCCTTGCAGCCGCCATCCTTGTCCCTCTCCTGCTGCTGCTGCTCTGCGTTGCCTGCTGTTGCTGTGGAGCCAGCCCAGCAGATGCTAGAGACAGGTATTTTTTCATATTTTGCAACCTTTGACACAAAGCCCATCTCCTGTGTCCCTCGATGTCCATCTCTGCCATGCAGGGCGGCTGTGCCGGACGATGATGTCGTGGCCAGGATGAAGCACCACGTGCAGGGGGTGCTGGCGAACCTCAGTGCTATGATGCCCTGCTTCAACCTGGGAGGCTCTAAACTCCCCAAAGTCACAGGTAAAAAAAGCAGAGCTGTCAACAGCACTTCCAGAGGGTCACCCCCACCCTGTGATCTCTGCAGTGTCACCATTTGGAAGGAAACTTCCAACTCCTCTCCCACCCCCACCCTGAGCACCCTGGGGTGCCCAAGCTCAGCTGGGTGTCTTCTCCTTCCCAGTGTCCCACCATGACACGGAAATCCCCTTCAACCCCAGCTTTATCGAGTCGCCATCGGCTGCGTGGGTGTCAGACAGCTCCTTCTCCTCCTTCGACACCGACAACGAGGGACCCGAGTACTCTGTCCCTCCCAGAGAAGGTGACATCCATGGTTGCCCCTCCTCTCCCTGGCCACACGCAGCCTATTCGGGCTGCCAGGGTCAATCCTGCCCCACTACCAACCTTGGCTGTCCCAGGGATGGGTGCTGGGCCCAGATAGTGTTTATTTCCATGCCCTTGTTTTCCTGTTTGCAGGGACACACCGGGGCTGTGCTTGACCTTGTATGGCAGAACATGCCCAGCGTGGGCAGTCCCATTTCACAACCTCCTCCCTGGGAAACGATCCCAGGGACAATCCTGTTACCCCAGCCCCTGTCCCAGTGTCCCCAAGTGTGTCCCTGGGCAGGGCAGTAGCTCTGGCAGCCGTAACTATTGTCGCCTTCTCCCACAGGCATCCCACTGCTGGGGGGGGCTGAGCTGCAGGATGGGACATCCCCCCCTGGTGAGGTGCTCCCAGACCCGTCTGCCTTCGACTCCGAGGATGTGTCCCAGCCCTTCGCCATCCCTCGCACCTCCAGCATCGCCAAGGCCAAGCGACCCTCCGTGTCTTTTGCCGAGGGGACAAAATTTGGGGCAGTGGAGACCCCCAGCCCCAGCTGGAAGCCCAAGACCCCATGGGGCCCATCCAAGCTGACCCAAACAGCAGCGGATGTGGCAGCGGAGCCCCAGAGTGAGCGACCAGCCAGTGATTGCTACGAGAACCCCGAGCCCCTCAGCAAGGGGGAGGAAAGCCACCGGCCATCACCACGGGCCACCCCGGGGGGACGCAGGAGGGTGGTCTCCAGCACCAGGCACGTGGCCCAGAGAGTGGAGGCACTGGAAGCAGCTGCAAAATCTGGCAGCTGGGAGGCGAAGGGGAAAGAGCCCAATGTCACCACCATCTACATGATGGTGGGAACGGCCGGGCAGGACCCCAAGGCAGAAGGAGGTGGTGAGGGACCGGTCCAGGCTATGCTGAAGCGTCTGGGCAGCTTGCAGAGGGGCAAGTGGGCTGCCAAGGAGGAGCCCAAGGTGAGGAGGAGCATGGAGGCCATCCAGAAACCACCCCGCCGGGCCCTGGCGCAGCGCAGAGACTCGGTGAACAGCTGCAAGCAGAGGGAGAGTGTCCCAGGGGCTCCTGCTGAGCCATCCCCCAGCAAGCACCAGCATCCCCCTGCGAAGAGACTGTCCCTCCTTCTTGCAGCTCTCTCATCAAAAAGCACTGGAGCCCAGGATGGGGCCAGCGAAGCTGTGGGTGCCACTGAGAGGGGCAAAAGCCCTGAGTTAGTTGTCAGCCTCGAAACAAAGGGACAGGCTGCCATGGAGGAAGAACCCAAATACGAGAATGTGACCAGCAGTGGTGCCAATTCACCCTCCAGCCCTGGCAAGGAGCTGCTGACCACCCCTGCAGCCACCTGAACCACCACTGCCCGGGCTGGGACAGTGGGAGCCCAGGGGATGCCTCCAACTCCATCTTGGGGGGAGCCGAGATCCCGCTCCGAGCTGTGAACTGGAGAAGCATCGAGCCTTTCCCTGACCCCCTCTCTTCCCTCTGTGCTGTGTTGCTGGACCCTCGCTGGCTGGCACAGCCGGTGAGATGGGTGATGCCAAGAGCCACAGCGGTGGCAGCCTGTGGGATTGTGGTGCTTCAGAGCTGCTTTCCTGCTCTCCCCTGCCTTACCTGCCACATCTGTGTCTGCAAAGCCTGGGGGCACAGCTCTGGGTGTGATGGTGACACCTTCAAGTCCCTGTTGGCAGTGGGGCCTGGGGACATACATCCTCTTAAACAGGAGCAGGGCGGCTGGAGGCTCAGCTGGGAAATGCACAGGCGAGAAAGAGTTTCACCCCATCGGCTTTTGCTTTTCCCTGTCCCAATTCCAGTGATGCTGCTCGGAGCCTCCTGCTATAAAGGTGCTTCTCGCTGAAGGGGATTATTTTGTGGAGCTGGGCTGAGGAGAGATGATGGGCTGTCACGAGCAGCTTCAGAGAAAATTAATTTTAGCTGCTTATCTCAAAGGGTATCTGGGTCTGCAGGGGTTTATCTGTGTGGCTTCTGTGGCAGGCCCTGGCTGCCTTTGCTTCTATGTACTTGTGTAGCCCATGGAAAGGCTTGTGGCACAGCACGGGGTGTAGCCACGGCCTTTTAAACTGCAATACCAGGCTGCAGTTATGCAAGAGCAAACGTGGCAGCTGGGCAGTGCCCATCAACCTGTGCACCTGGCGCCGTGCTGGTCCAGATAAGGATGAAAGTTGCATGGAAAACAAGATTTCTACGGGTCCCCTGAGCTCCTGCCATCTCCCACGCCTCATTCCTGCTGTAAAGGCGGTTGAGATGTCAAAGAGGATTTGCAGCCTGATCTGGTTTTAGATGT